AATATTTGCAGCTCAGAGTTGGACTGTGGAGTTGGACTTGAAGCTCTCTCGGCTTGGTGGTTTTCTTGCAGACGTTTCATGACCCAACTAGGTAGCATAGAGAGCGAGCCCCACTCCCTTCTAGCATTGATGATGTTACCTAGTGAGGTAATGAAATGTCTGCAAAAAAACCAACAACCCATCAAGCTCAGAGAGAACCAAGGACTCCACAGTCCTCCCCCTCCTCTTCTTCTTCCTCCTCCTCCTCTTCTTCCTCCCTCTTCCTCTTCCTCTTCCTCCTCCTCTTCTTCCTCCTCCTCTTCCTCTTCTTCCTCCTCCTCTTCCTCTCCACAGTCCTCACTCCCTTCTAGCACTGATGAAGTTACCTAGTTGGATAATTATCAAACATCAGCAAGGAAAACCATCAAGCTCAGACAGCACTAAAGACCCCACAGTCCTTTTCTTCCTCCTCCTCCATCCCCATTCTCTTATAGCACTGATGATGGTACCTAGTTGGGTCATGAAATGTCTCTAAAAAAACAGCCAAGCTCAAAGACCAGCAAGGACCTCACAGTTACAAGGCGTGTGTGTGTGAGAGAGAGAGAGAGGAGGAATCATACCTGATTGAAGTGTTCAGGGCCTGGATGATGTGCGTGGTGTGTGATGTGTGCTTGGAGGACGGGGAGTGAAGATAGAGGCATGTTTGCAACTTACAGGCATAGAGTAGTCCTTGATTTACAACCGGTTGCTAAACAACGCATTCAAAGTTACAACGAACAGGCAATTTCACAAACGTCACTTCAGAGTTTAAAACAAACCACGGTTCTTTTTTTTTTTCTTCTTCAAATGTTTGCATTGCTCCCTAGTGAGTTTCCAAAACATTTCAGCTGCCAGAATTCTGGAGCCACAGGACTAGAAACTTGATTGCTTCTCTTGCGATCTTTTAAAAAAACCAAAAAAAGCAGATTTTGCTCCCAATGCAGCCAATTCAGAGGCCGATCTTTTGGGAATGAAGGGCGAACACTCTGCCAGGCAAATCTTGCACATTTAGCAAGAATCAAAGTTGCATCCTGGTTAGCCGACTTTGCAAGCTTGGGAAGGTGACAGGAAGGGGGAGAACAAGAAGAGAAATATAAATTGGGGGCACATAGAACATATTCCCCCTCGGGGAAGAGAAAAGATGGAGGGAAGACAGGCTAAGAACAACATTTTTGCTCTCTGCAGAAAAATTTGCCAGTCCTTCTCTTAGAACTGGTGCCAGATAAATATTTCCCACTGATCTGAGATTTTTCTGTGCCCAGCAGGGCCTTTGGATTGCATTAGGACTGGGGGGGTGGGGGACAAGGCCCCCCCATTTCCACACCAACCCAAAACATTTCCTGTGGTTTCTGCAACTTAACTCCTTTATTTGCTGGGGGGGTGTGTGTGTGGAAATTGGCAGGTTGCTTGGCTGTATCTCTCTCTCTCCCTGTCGGTTCATCACTACTAAGACTTAAGGTTTCTAAGGACAGGGCTGGAGGGTGGCAATCACAACTTTGCAAAACCCTTTTGTCTAGATCTTGAGGGTCTTCAAGTGGGGGGCACAACAGGGCCAGCAGAAAGTCCTGGGTTCGAAAGAGTTGAATTCAAACTCTAGCAAGGCGCTGCGTTAATATTAGGGTTGGTCACACAGCCAACCAGATGTTTAGACTGGAATTTTTATCCAACTTATTGAATCCTTCCAAGGATTGGGATACATAAGTGTGGTTGTTTGATGGTGTTAAAGGTATAGGGTTTCCTGCCTAAGCAAGGGGTTGGACTAGAAGGCCTCCAAAGTCCCTTCCAACTCTGTTATTATTCTATTCTTGTTCTGTTCTACGCTATTCTCATTTTACTATTCTATTCTATTCGTCTCGTCTTGTCGCAGGATGTCAGCCGTTCCGAGTCAAGCTGCCTTTTGCAATTGACCGATGGGGATTTTGTTCAAAGGGTGAGGGGTTCCAGATAATATTCTAATCCTTATCATTTCCTGATTTTCTACAGATCTATCCATTTCAGTCTCCCTACTTGCAACTCTGCCCAATTTGGTTCCGTCTTTTTCCAGTTTCTCATTTCAAGGTTTTGAAGGAATAACCACCAAACCAGGAGAATTGCATTTGAAAAACAGCCAAAGAGACATCTAGAATAGCAATTTAATATTGCATTTAATAAATATTTGGCATTCTTTGCTCTGGCAAAACCATGACTGAGTCAGGAAAGGAACAGCAGTAAGACGACACAATTAGGAAAATTTTGACAATCATTTTCAGACATTGCTTTTGAGACCTTAGCTAAATTTTTAAAATTCTTTTTTAGCCCTGTTTTATAACTTTCCATCTATTTAACCAGGTACAACGAGGGCTGCCTTTGATCCAAATTGTTTATGTTATCTTGATGGCAGCCACTGGGGAATTAAATTGGATTCTTTTTCATGTTGCTTTCATCTTTATAACGCTTTCCAAGGCATTTAGATAGTATTCCAAAACTGTCCATACGTGTTTTTAAAAAGACTATATAACCTAGCCACGAAATAATCTTCTGATACAAATTCTTGACTTTTTAAAGGGAGGAAAGCGGGGGAGGGAACTCTGTATAAGTTCAGAAGCACTCCTTCCATGCTTGAGGCATTCAATGCTTTAGTGCATTGAAATCTCTCCCGAAGAGCAACAGAGGTGATTAGGGGGTGAGGCTAAAACATATGAGAAATACTTGCAGGATTTGGGTTTGGCTAGTCTAGTGGAAAAAAGGACTAGGGGTGACATGAGAGCAGTCTTCCAATATCTAAGGGGCTACCAAAAAGAGGAGGGGGGAGTCAACTTATTTTCCAAAGCACCAGAAGGCTGGACAAGAAGCAATGGATGGAAACTAATCAAGGAGAGAAGCAACCTGGAAATAAGGAGAAACTTCCTAACAGTGAGGGCAATTAACCAGTGGAACAGCTTGCCACCAGAAGTTGTAGGTGCTTCATCACTGGAAGTTTTAAAGAAGAGATCGTAATGTAATGTATACATCCAAACTAGGCTGTGATGTTTCTCTGTGTCATATGTGTCTGTGTATGCATAATGCAGATCCTTTGAGAGCTGAATGCAATGAAATTTCATTTTAATGTATGCTGGTTAGCGTACATTTAAAGGGATAATAAAATCTATTCTATTTCTATTATTTCTAATCTTCGGCTTATGTTGTGACTGCAGAAGACCTTTTTCATTTTGAAGTATGCTGTTCGAGCTTTCTCTTTCCTTGTTATATTCTATTCTATAGTCTGTTTTATTTCTATATTTCTATTTCTGTATTTCTATTTCTATTTCTCCTCTCATTTTCATGCTATTATTTTCCTTCTCTTTTCTCCTCTCTCGTTTCTTTTCCCCTCCTCTCCTTTTGTTTCTCTTTCTATTCTATTCTATGCTATTTTCTATTCTATTCTATGCTATTTTCTATTCTATTTTCTTTTCTAATCTAATTCTATTCTCTATTCTACTCTACCTCTATTTTCTATTCTATTTCATTTTCTATTCCATTCTATATTCTATTCTAATTTTATTCTCTATTCTATTTTCTATTCTATTCTATTCTATTCTATTCTAATTCTATTCTCTATTCTATTCTATTTTTATTCTATTCTATTCTAATACTATTCTCTATTCTACTATTTTATTCTAACTTTATTCTCTATTTTCTATTCTATTCTATTCTATTCTATTCTATTCTATTCTATTCTATTCTATTCTATTCTATTCTATTCTTCCATTCCATTCTCTTATGCTGTTCTATGATGTTCTATGATTCTTAAAACCAGTCCTCCACCCAAGGAGACACACGCCTTTGCTCAGAGAATCTCTCTCTATCCCAACTTTCCTTTCATCCAAATAATATTTCTCATAATTCACCACCCTCCCGGATGGCCACTCACCTCACTGACGATGGTGGACGTAAACTGAGTTTGGTCATAAAACCATCCCTCGGCGCACGGTTCGGTTGCCGTCTCATTCGCCCCGGGGACACTTGCGTTGAGGAGATACCACTGAGCGTCCGTGAAGCGCCTGCATTTCTCCAACCTTTGCTTGTTATCCAGGGGGATGCTGACCCGGAGAAGCTGGCCGGCGCCTTGCAGAAGAGTGATATTGGGGTACTCGCTGCCATTGGGGGCGAGGTGCACCTGGCAGCGGTGCCCCGGGATAGCGCCCGTGAAGTTCTGGAGAAGGTTGTGGCTGGCCATGAACAAGATTGGGATGGTCAGTAGCATAGTGTGGATAAGTTGGAAGCGTCCCATGCCACCAATTTGCTCCAGGAGCTCCCCAAAAGCCATGGTGAGCTAGAAAAAATCCTCAGGGGGTTTTCCCAAAAAAAAACCTCTACAGGCCAGATCTTAATCCTGGGCCGAACACTGTTCACATAAAGCAGAAGGCCAGGAGATGGAGAGATGGAGAAGAGAAAAGAAGAAGAGAGGGAGAAGAGAAAAAGATGGAAAGATGGAGAAAAGAGAAAGATGGAGAGATGGAGAAGAAAAATAAAGAAAGAGATGGAGAGATGGAAAAGAGAGAAAAAAAGAAAGAAAAACACTGTAAGATTGGCGGTGACTTTAAAAAATAGAATTCCTGTAAAACAAAGATCCGGAGGAAAAGAATATCCAGGATTTTTTGATTCAAAGAATTAGGGTTAGCAGATTCAGTGGAAATAAACCGCTTTTTCTAAACGGAGCGCCCTTAATTCTCTTAAAAATAGCGTCTAAAGAGCTCAGCGCATCTCTTCCTTCATCCGGCGATGCTGGAGAGGACCGATCCGTGCGCTTTTTCAGGGTCAGAAAACTCCCGTTTTCCCTCCCTTCGCCCTTACCCCGTTGACTCTCCTTTTTGCTGGGGGAGATTTGAGGACCTGGCTGAGAGTTTTGGAGTCCAGAAATGTGCCGTCCAATGAAGAAAGGGTGAAAAAAAAGAGAAAAAAACTATTGAGATTCTTGGCACTCACCCGCATCGAAAAGAAAAACGCTCTCTGCCCTGTTCGTGCCCAGTCCCAGGGAGCTACTGAGCCCTTCGTTTTCCTGCTTAAGGAAAATTGTTTGGAAAGGTTGCTTTTGCGTGGATTATTTATGAAAAGCGACAAGCAGCTGATTTGGTTAACGTTTGACCCTGGTTTGGAGGGGGATAAACTGGGGGGGGGAATTGAGGATGGCAGGGGGTGAGGAGGGTGCAGAGAGATTGGTTAAAGGGGAAGAAAGTACATGAACTCTTGAAAGGAACAAGGGTGAAATATGCAATTTAAGGGTGTGGAATGTGGCGTAAACTTTTTTAATAAAAAGAAGTTTTCGTAGAAAAGCCTGCTTCATCCACTGTTTGCTCCCGTGGGGGTTGGAGTTCAAATCCCGCTGTTTCTCCGTCCAGGATACAGGTAGTCCTTGACTTATGACCCCAACCGAGCCCCAACATTCCATGTTTGTTGAGTTTCACACCCTAGTGTGACCTTTCCATCCAGAGCGGTTCAGGGAATCACTGCCGTCGTAAAGTTAGGAACACGGTTGTTAAGCGAATCTGGCTTCTCCCCCATGGATGTCGCTCGTCCGAAGGTCGTAAAAGGGGATCACGTGACCCCCCCCCAGGACATAAATATGAATCTGTGGCCAAGCGCCTGAATTTTGGATCACACGACCACAGGAATACTTCAATGGTCGTAAGTGTGAAAACTGGTCATAAGTCACTTTTTTTTCCAGTGCTTTGTGTTGTGGTTCACCGGTGGCCTGTTGCAGACGGCAGCAGACTCGGACAGTGGCGAGAAATGGGACCAGTCAGAGAGTCTGGCGAGGACTCGGACGAGGGTCCTGCATCCGATGCAGAGTTGGGGCCAGGACCCTCTGGAAGTGGGGTGCTGCCTCGAGTCTGGCAGCAGCGAGGCAGAGGAGCAAGGGGAGCCTGTGCTCAGTGTGCATATGTGCAGAGCTGCTAGAAGGCAAGAGCAGCTGAGACAAAAGGGGGCGACTTGGGAGTAAGGCTGGGAGGTGATTGCCCCTCCCATATGGTATAAAGGACAGGCAAAGGTGATGAAACCTTTGCAGGAAGCAAAGTCGTTCGTTCGGTTCAGATTCATTCTTGAAGCTCTTTGTACTTTGGTTGATTTTTTTTTCCTAGTTCATTTGATACTACTGGCAGCACATTTTGTGGTGGTCTGTGGTTGTTAAGTCAACCCTGTGATTGATTAAAGAGGAACCCGAGGAAAACAAGATAACTGTAGGCGGATCAGGCAAGCGAGCCAAGCCGCAAATGACAAGCAAAACTCCAGTCTTAAGCTGGGACATGACTTCTGAACAGAAGGATCTCGGGTTTCGCCATTCATATTTTAATATATTCCCCAGGCAAGAAGGCTTACTTCTGGCACAGCTACAAAATAACACAACTTGTTTTTCTGGAGGCTGGCTGCCATGAAATCTCCTAGACATTTAATTAATGCACGTCAATAAGGACTTGTAACTTGTCTCTTTGAAGCCATGAAATCATCAAGCAAAACTTGAACTGGAGCCATTGTCTTTTTAACATCGGGCGGCCTTGATAATTCCTGCTCCATCCAGCCCCTTCGGAGTTACAGCCACCAGGGGGCAGCGCCTCTCCATCTGGGCTTCAACAGGGAGAGAAGACCACCAGGAAATCACAGGTTCGGTAACTAAACGTCAAAAATTAAAAAAAAATCCTCCAATCAGTTAGATTTCCAGGATTGCAGCTTAACCTTTGTAGGTGAGACAGAGAGGTGAGCTGCCAAAAAGGGTTGCCAACATTTTATTTTTATTTTTTTTTGCTGCTCTTAAAAGACATGTTTGGGCATACACCTGTGATCATTCCAGCTAGTCCTTGACTTACGACTGCAATTGAGCCCGGAATTCCGGTTGTAAATCATGCCGGTTGTTAGGTGGGTCATGACGTGTCCAACCTGGTTTTATGACTTTTTTTGCAGTGCCGTGAAGCGAAACCATTGTCTGCAAAATGAGTGGTTTTTGCGGGAAATTGGAAATAAATATCAGTTTCCAGCAAAACAAAAACCTGACTGAAGAAGTGTGGAATTCCACAGAAAAACACAGATTCCGATAAGGCAAACAATACCCCTCCAAGGTCCCTTCAACTTCTATTCTCATTGATTGATTGAAACCGTCGTAAATTGAGGTTGTGTCACCGTGGCATGCCATAAATGCAGATCGGTTGCTAAGCAACCCAAATGCGACCACATGACTGCAGGAAGGCCCGACCGACCATCAGGCCTTCAAATCCAGGTCTGTTTGGTGGTCTGTTGTTGGCTTCAAAAGGACTCTAAAGCAACCAGTCATAAGTCAAGGACTACATCAGTCATTATCCTGAGTCCAAAGGACACTGCCAATGCAAACTGAGGTCTCTCAGCGGGTGCAAAGTCTGTCGGGAATTGTACCTGGGACACAGGGAGTCCTTGACTTTACAACCACAGCTGAGTCCCAAATTTCTGTTGCTAAGCGAAGCATTTAAGTGAATTTTGCTCCATTTTATGACCTTTTGTGCCATAGTTGCTAAATGAATTGCTGCGGTTGATAAAGTCAGTCACATGGTTGTTAAGAGCCTTTATAACTTCAAACAGTCACGAAATGAACTGTTGTAAGTCAAGGACAACCCATATTGAATTATATTCTATTTACCACTTAGCCAACGCATAATATCGTTATTATTAGGATGACTCTTATGCTGTTTATCATCTTGCGGGAAAATTGTCGCTTCTGATGATTGCACATCCTGTTCGGCTCCAAGAATAGAATAGAATAGAATTATAGGAATAGAATTAAAAATAGAAGAGAAGAGAATTAAGAAGAGAAGAGAAAGAGAAGAGAATAGGATTCGGAATAGAATGGAATGGAATAATAGGAATAGAATTTAGAATAGAATGGAATTTAAAAAAAAGAATACAATAGGAAATAAGAGAATAGGAAATAACAGAAATAGAAAAATTAGAAATAGAGCTGGAAGGGACCTTGTAGGTCATCCAGTCCAACCCCTTGCACAAGCAGGAGACCCTATACCATTTCAGACAAGGGACTGCCCAGCCTTTTCTTAAAAACCTCCAGCGATAGAGCGCCCACGATTTCTGGTGGCAAGGGGTTCCACCGGTTAATCGTCTCCCCTGTGAGGAAGTTTCTCCTTAATTCCAGGTTGCTTCTCCCCTTGATCAGTTTCCGACCATTGTTTCTTCTTCCTGCCTTCTGGTGCTTTGCAGAACCATCATAATAATCATGGGTGCCGGCACCCGGAAAACCAACTTGGCGTGAGCATCCTCTCGATCTCGCCGCCCAGCTGTGCCAAACCCCGCTTCTCCTCCCCCCTGAGGGGGGGGGGTGGAGGGGGGAAGAAAGAGGCTTCAGCCAGCAGCCTGCAAGTCACCGTTATGGCTGCAGCCAAGACGCCTGTCTAATGAAATGTCAACATGTTGCAACGACAGGCTCATTAGCGGCAGAGGTCGGCCATGACATGGCACGGACGGACGGACCAAGGGGGGGGGGGGGGGCCGCGGCTGGAATGTTTTGGACTCTGCTCTCAACCGTCCGGCCAGAACTTTTCGAGACCCCAGGAAGAGACAGGAGGACAGTCTGCGTCCACCTCATAAACTGGAACGTCCTTTAGCCAAAAGTCAGGGGCGGCTGCACAACTGCATCCCAAAGACAGGGGCGCTTCAGGGTTCAAGCAATGGGTTTTTAGGGGGCCACATTTCAAACCTGGCCGGGGAGAGAGGCTGGCCTTAAAAGAGTTGTAATTGAAAAAAAAAAAAAGGATAAAAAATAAACAGTTTAATACAAGCATTTTGCATCGCTTAAAAATATGGATGAGCAATAGAAACATACAGGAAGTGTGTTTACAGGTTAACAGAGTGGGAAGGGACCTTGTAGGTCATCTAGTCCAACCCCACGGCCAAGCAGGAGACCCTACACCATTTCTGACAAATGGCAGTCCAGTCTCTTCTTGAAAGTCTCAAGTGATGGCGCTCCCACAACTTCCGAGGGCAACTTCTGTTCCAGGGGTGGATTGTTCTCACTGTCAGAAAGTTTCTCCTTATTTCGAGGTTGAATCTCTCCTTGTTCAGTTTCCATCCATTGTTCCTTGTCTGGCTTTCGGGTGCTTTGGAAAATAGCTTGTCCCCTTCCTCCTCTCTGGGGCAGCCCCTCAAATATTGGAAGATGCTCTCCTGTCCCCTGTAATTCTTCTTTTCTTTAGACTAGCCAGACCCCAAACCTGCATCCGTTCTTCATAGGGTTCAGTCTCCAGGCCTTTGACCATCTTGGTTGCTCTTCTCTGAACTTAATCTAATTAAATT